AGAATCAAAAACACGACTGATGAAATATTACTCCAAATAAAAACTGAAAAAATAAAGACAAAGCCAGTAGTCTATAATTCTGTTAAGTGAAGAACAAAGCTACTGTTACAGTCGGGACGCATTATTGAAAAAAATCATCCATTCTTGAATATCTAATGGATCCCGACTGTTAAAGTAGGTTTGTTCCTTACTTAACAGAATTAAAGACTACTGCGCTTGTTTTATTTCTTTTCAGTTTTTATTTAAAGTAATATTTAAGCAGTCGAGTTTTTTGATTTTTAAATTAACCTTTTTTAAAACCCTTAAAGAACATTTAAGGACACACATTAAAGGAAATATTGGAATGATTCTAAAGTTAGGTGAGGTAGTATTTTTTATATGATCAATTAGTAGTTTTTAGTAGTTATCTTTGCAAAAAAGCTTTTATTGATAACCACAAGCTCATTCCAATTTGCACAACTATATCTTCAAAACTGAACAAGTTTCATGCAAACTTCTAGGATTGTTTTTAGGGTATGAATTTTCAAAAAAACCTTGTCACTTACATCTGTTTAGAAACCTTTGTGCGAAATTGGTTTAATCGGCTCTATGTTGATTTATTAGTCTGTTTCTGTTTACTTAATGACTAAACGATAATTTTATTAACTTAAGTTACACTTACGTTATCCTAAATTACATCATTCTAGTGTCTAAGCTAAGCTATGGATAAACGGACGGACATGCCGAAACGATAAGAGTTCCTTGTTGACACAGGAGCTTATTTACCCTGCGAGGAGTGGCTGTAAGAGCTACGAGGGGCAGCAGAAGGCATATCAAGGCAATTTGTTAGAGATCTATTTATTTTTTATTTTACTTATTGTAGGTGCAAATAGCAAGTGGTCGGGGATTTTAAAATATGCCCCTGAGTTGACTACTGATTGAATGCAAACTCCTTCTCCCTCAGTCAGCATGATTGTGATGAAGAACTCCAGAACCCTGCATTGCACCTGGCGCATACGCACATGGCCGGTTTTTTTTCATTTTTCTACTTTTTTTTTTATTTATTTATTTAATCAAGCAATATTACAATTATAATACATATTATAGTGCAAACAAAACCCAGAAAGGTTTATTCGTGCACTACATTCACCGCTGTACATCTAGTTACTATAAATAAATATAGGTTTTCACACTGTAGTAACTATAATTAAATAACAATATTTTATAAAATAAGTGGGTATGTTGGAAATAGTAAACCTTGACATGATAATTAATTTGCGCTTGCACATGCAGGTCACAAAAGCGGTATACCGGTTGGGTAAGTTTTTTTTTCATGCTAGCATATAAGTCGTAATGCAGTTATCCTAGATAAAGGATGCTCCAATTATAATGATAAATATGTCTTTTTTTAATGTTTTTATGTTAAGTTCGTTGTAACGGTTATTTTAAATGAATTATTTTTAAGTTATTGATAAAGTGACTTTTTAATGTGCGTTTTATGTTTCCTTTATTTAGTGCGTTTTTTATTTCAAATGGTAACTTATTTACTCAATTTGGAACAATGAATTGTAATGTTCGTTGCCCATATAGGTTATTTGATTTTGGAATTAATAATTTATTATTTGCAACGCCTTGAGTTAACTTACTATGAGATGAAACCTTTTGAATATCAGTATTGAAGAATTGTTCTGTTAAGATGTTATATTTAAATTTCTCCTGAACCGGCATCAATGAGCAGTAAGAGAACAATACGTGATAATTGTTTTTATATTCCTCCCTCACTTTACGAGGGACAATGGTTTTTAAAATGCGCATTTGGAGTTCATAGATGCGATGTAAATGTGATTTCGCAGTACGTCCATAACTACTCAGTCCATAAGAAATTATCGATTCCCCCAGTGATTTATATAAATATAACAATATAGGATAAGGAATTTTATGTTTAAGTATAGAAAACTTTGCAAGAAGTGCTCGTAATTTATCACTCACGTGTTGAATATGATCGGCCCATGTCAACCGATGGTCAATGATTAGCCCGAGGTAAGTTTGACTTTTTTCAACTTTCAGTGCGTCGCAGCAGCAATTAGTGTTAAAGTTATTGGTATGCAAGCAATTATGACTATGTGATACGAGTACTATAGGAGTTTCTTTTCTATTTTGACTAGTGCTAATATACATAACTTTCGTTTTACTGTCATTTAATACAAGTCCATTATCATGGGACCATTTACAAAGTAGTGTAAAGTCAGTTTGCAACTTTTTAAGCGCCGTGTTAAGATCAGGGTCAGCAGCAAGCAAACAGGTATCGTCAGCAAATTGGTACATTTCGCAAGTTTTAATGACGTTTGTACGATTATTCACATAAGTAATGTAGTGTAAGGGTCCCAATACTGATCCTTGTGCTGTCCCTTCCGCCAAATGAACTTTATTACTTATTGCATCATCCACCTTCACCGAGTATGTTCGGTTTTGTAAGTAGTTTTTACACCATTTCAATAAAGAACCACGTATCCCACTTTCCTCCAAACTGTCAGCGAGTATATCGTGACGAAGTGTATCGAACGCTTTGGAGTAATCAATAAATACAATGATAACATGTCGTTTGCTATCTATATGTTTATTAACAGAATCCGTAAAGTCAGAAAGTAGTTGTGAAGTATTTTTTCCGGGTTGAAAGCCATACTGTTTTTGTGAAATTATATTATTTTTACTAAAAAACGTATATATTTGGTTACCAATATATTTTTCTACAATTTTGTCAATTGTGGGGAGGATCGTGATTGGTCTATAATTTTCATAGTTTTTATGACTACCCTTTTTATATATCGGTCGTATATTTATATTATTATTAATAAAGTTATATATTTCGAAAGGACACGACATATAATTTGCAGCTTGTCAATTTATATTGTGTAAAAGATTAGTAATTTTTTATAGTCTAATATTTTTTTGTGCGAATTGCACGGAGCATCCTGTATCCGCGGAGCGTGGCAAGCCAGCACAACCATACGATGATCAGCCAGTACGGTTCCGAGAGCGGCGGCGTTCCGAGAGTGTAGGTTTCTTGTGTGCGGGATCTCACGAATATATGATCAATGCAAGTTTTACTTGTCTTACCGTCTCTGGATTCAATTCGCGTGTAGTCGGATATCCCACACACAAGTCCACAATTGTATAACATGGTTTTATATTTATGTTTTAAAGCACTGTCGGACTTTAGATCTATATTCATATCACCGAGCAAATACAAGTCACAATCTGTACCGAAGTTCGAAATAGTGTGTTGTAATTCGTCGATAAACAAATGTTTACTATTTTTCGGTGGCCGATACACACAGAACAGCGGAATATCGAAATGGTGTTTTGATTTTGAGCGTTAGGCATTCAAAGTGTTGTGTTTTTATTTTAAAATCAATTAATTTGTGCTTGTTATGAACATATACAATTATACCTCCACCTCTTCGAGAATTTCGCAACTCTGCCCGCATACTATAGCCATCGATATTATATAAACAACACAACGAATCAGAAATATTTTACTTCAGTTATTATTATTACATCCACGCAATGGCTGCATGAACTGATACATTGTTCTAAAGCTGAGAAGTTTTTAATTACCGAGCGTATATTAACGTGTAAGCATAGTAAATTCGCAAAACCATTAGGAATGCTGTCCAGAAAACATTGAATGTTTGAACAGTCTTTTACCTCATATACGTCTAATGTCGAAGCCATTTTTTTAAAGAAGAGAATAACAATAGGTAGCTTAAGTTAGTTAAGTAAAATGATGTTAAAGTATCTACCTACTTTTTATGAGCTAATATTTTGATATCACATATAGATCTTATTATTATCGGTTTTTCTTTACTTGAATTACGCACCATTATTATTCCTTTTTTGCACCATACGTACTTATATATATTCTTTAGTTCCTGCTTTGCGTTCCAAAGAAGTTTTTTGTTATACGGGGAAAGAGCAGCGTTAATATATATCTTCGGGTTTTCAACATCTGCAGATGGGTTCAAAATAAGGTCATTGGCGTGAATAGTGTTTTTTTTCGATGCTGATATCCATTTTTCCGGTGTGCTATCATCCTTTACCATGATTCTAATGGGTCCAGGCTGATCCTTCCTGCCACTAAGACGTTTCGCGCTTACAATATCTTCTTTGGCCTGAGCTAATTTTTCCGCCACTGTTTCCGCTAAGTCTTTTACATTTTCATCGTCCTGGTTTATTACGTTACTTATATCAATGTAGTTTGCTACATTACAAGAACTTACAATTAATAAAACTCTAACTATGCAAAAAATAAGCAACTCACCCTACTTATCAATGATTTTTTAGAAGCGGTTCTCCCCAATTAGTTTCAGGTCTTTTTGTTCTTTAGTTTTTGAAGTGAAAACTTCTTTAGTATCGTAGTGAATTGAGATTCGATGAAACGGAAGTAGAGTATTTAACACAATCTAGGTATCCATAAGTTTTTCATTTTCTATAGGAGACAGACAGCCGAACGGTAACGGTCTTGGAGTCGACACCAAATGATCGGGAGTTCGATCCTGAGCTTTGTTATTTTTGAATTTTGTTTTCTTATTTTAAGCTATTATTTATTTTTCGAAACGATTTAAGTATAGAATATTTAAATTTGCCCAGTATTTTACAATACCTGAATAGTTAAGTATTAAACGTTTGGTAGGTGCCTAAGTTGTTTATTAATACAGGTTTGGTTTTTAGCAACAATCCTTACATATTATAAATAAATATTTTGAAAAAAACTAAGATAAGAATAACATAACAAAAAACAAATGGACTTTTACGTGTTCACATTTTTGTAGGTTTTTAATCGTAACGCAATAAAAATATGACCTTTTCACATCACTGACACGAGTAAATCTTGAGGAACATGTGCATATGTCACAATTTGAGATTTAATAATGAAAAAAGAATGTTTTCTATTTTGGGGTCACGTTCTTCGATTTTAAATGCTTAAAATAATATAATACCTTTTTGGTTTATCGCTGTAGGATGTTCGTGACAGTATTTTTGACGCTCGGCTTGGCAGTGTCGTTGTGGCTGCGCTGGCGACACCAACACAGAGGACTTCTCAAGGCAGCTCAGCAGTTTCCTGGTCCGAAGACGCTACCAGGCCTAGGGAATGCTATGATGTTTATGTGCAAGCCTGAAGGTACATAAATATTTATTATTTACTCAAGAAAATGGTATTAGCAAAAATTCCGCTTCGTCCCCTATCCTTTTTTTTAACGATGGGAAATGCTTTACGCGTACTCCGCGCTTTGAGGTACGCGGGGTTATGTCGGACTCTCCGCGGCTTCTGGGGGCAGACAGAATGCCCTCCAGAAGGTGCCTCCGCGGCCTACCGACTAAAACCCACCGATGCCCCTCACATACGCCTTGGCGCGAGTATGTCCATCACTGCTGCATCCTCATCGTCTTCTGACGAGGAGGACACATCGGGGAGTGACGCGTCGCTGCCGGACAAGGTCATGGGAACTCGTGAGAACACATCCACGACCTCGTCGGCGGCTGCTCGCCTATGGCGAGCCCCACTCGCCCCCCAAAAAGGGAGGACCGGTGATCCCCCGGGGCATCCAGGGGATCAGCGACTGGCGGCAGCCGGTGCAATGCAGGGCCCGGGCTTCCCGGGCCTGGACCCCGCTGGTTACCGTCAGGAGGAAGTAGGCGGGCGTACATCCGCCTTCTCCGCCCCATCCTTCGTCGGCGACAAGGAGCGGCCTCTGGTCCTTCTTCGCGGGCTCTCTCCGCGTCCTTCTTCTACGTCATGACGTCGACACACAAGGAGTTCACCGCGTCCCACATTTCCTCCCCCTCCAACATGACGCAGACCACGTTTTGGAGGGAGAGATCATCGCCAATGATGGCGGTAAGTTCCCCGATCCGAAGGGAGAAACCTGGGCACACCTCTAAAGTATGCTGTGCGGTGTCCTCAGCGGCGTCACAATGGTGGCACTCGGGGATCGGCTCCCTACCAATGCGGTGCAAGTAGCGGCCAAAAGAACCATGACCGCTAAAAATTTGCACCAAGTGGTAGGAGAGCGACCCGTGGCTCCGGTCCGCCCACGTGGTGAGAAAGGGGAGTATGGCCTCAAAGGTCTATAGCCCTCCGCCCCCCCTTCCCCCCCCCCCTTGCAGACAGAACCACATGAGGAGGGCCGCCGTTCCTGGGAGGGGGAAGCGGGAGGGGAAGCGTAATTCTTCCCGTCCCTCTCCCCCCTCCCGGCCGCCCACATCTCCCCGTCCCTTCTCCTGGGAGAAGAGGGTACCAATTACTGTACATCTTGTTATTGTTAAGTTCTTGTTATTCTTTCCATCGCCCATGTTTGTTTTATTTTTTTTGGTTTCATTGTTAGGTTTTGTGTTAATTTGAAATATGGCGCAGTAGTTACTGCTTTCGTATCTGTAGAACTTTTCGCATAAGATGGGTGATCAAAATTTTGTTAACTTGAGTTCCTCCATGCTTAATGTAAAGTACATAAAACCGTTGATTTCGGCTGAAGTCCTTAGCACCATAAAATAAGGCCGCGTTGTTAACAAGAGATATATTTGACTATACTCAAAATACTAGAGAAAACATAACCATTTTTAAAAAAAAATACACATTAGAAGTATTCTACGTAACGTAACTATAGTCAATTTTAACTATGGATGACACACCGCACCCTTTACTTTAACCATCCACAGCATTACAAAAGGGATGTCTCGTAATTTTTAGGCTTGCAACTCAACTTTTTTTTGACCCGGAGAAATGCCTTAAGCATACCCCGCCGCTGGGTAAGCGACGAGGTTATGTGAAACTCCTTCCCCCACCTCCCGCCCACCCACTCAGCCAACCCTAGGGCTAGCTCAGTGGCTGCTCGGGATGAGGGGGGGGGGGGGGGGGTCCTACCCACTAAAAGTCCGGAATGTGCACGTCTGTTAAGCTAGCATGGCAAAGTGAGCAGAATCGTTTAAAACAAAGTGCATCAATTAGTGCTAATTTAGTGCCAAAACCGGAAATTTAATGCTCTCATAGTTTAGCGAAAAATTAGAACACTGCCAGCTTTTAATTAAGCTAGCAGTGTATTCCCTGAAACGCCTATATTAACGCGGTATAAAACTAAAGCAATGCATATGGAATTTAGTGCTTAATGAGTGCTGGCAGTATCTGATGAAAATTTTGGAAAATAAAAAATATTATATTTTTTAACAATAAAAACTGCTAGTATGACAGTCTGAGCAAGTGACCGGTTCGAATACATCACTCTGGATCGAAGATCTATGATAATCAACGGTTAATAATTTAGTGCTCAATGAGTGCTGCCAGTATGTGATAAAAAATTAGGAAATTTTATTTATTTGAAAGAAAGAAAGAAAGAAAGAAAGAAAAATCATTTATTGGCCTTAACACACAAGTATGTAATAATAAGAAATTATATAAGCACCGATAAAAATAAAAACAAACAGACAACAACAATATGCAGAAAGAAGAAAGGCCAATTAGGACCCTACCTCAGCTTAATGCTATTACAATGGGACGGGAATATTCCCACCGTAACAGCGCTGGTATTCTTATTAATAAAAACTGCTAGTTTGACAGTCTGAGCAAGTGACAGGGTTGAATACATCACTCTGGATCGAAGATCTATGATAATCAACGGTTAATAATTTAGTGCTCATTGAGTGCTGGCAGTATGTGATAAAAAATTAGGATTTTTTTTTTAATTGTTTATCAATATAAACTGCTAGTATGACAGTCTGAGCAAGTGACTGGGTTGAATACATCACTCTGGATCGAAGATCTATGATAATCAACGGTTAATAATTTAGTGCTCAATGAGTGCTGCCAGTATGTGATAAAAAATTAGGAAGTTTTTTTTTTAAATTTTTTATCAATATAAACTGCTAGTATGACAGTCTGAGCAAGTGACTGGGTTGAATACATCACTCTGCATCGAAGATCTATGATAATCAACGGTTAATAATTTAGTGCTCAATAAGTGCTGACAGTATGTGATAAAAAAAAGGAAATTTTATTTTTTTTTAATTTTTAACAATTTAAATTTCTAGTATGATATAGTCTGAGCAAGTCACCGGGTTGAATACATCGCTCTGGATCGAAGATCTATGATAATCAACGGTTAATAATTTAGTGCTCAATGAGTGCTGCTAGTATGTGATAAAACATTTGGATTTTTTTATTTTTTATTAATAAAAACTGTTAGTTTGACAGTCTGAGCAAGTGACAGGGTTGAATACATCACTCTGGATCGAAGATCTATGATAATCAACGGTTAGTAATTTAGTGCTCAATAAGTGCTGACAGTATGTGATAAAAAATTAGGATTTTTTTTTAATTTTTAACAATAAAAACTGCTAGTATGATAGTCTGAGCAAGTCACCGGGTTGAATACATCGCTCTGGATCGAAGATCTATGATAATCAACGGTTAATAATTTAGTGCTCAATTTGGATTTTTTTATTTTTTATTAATAAAAACTGCTAGTTTGACAGTCTGAGCAAGTGACCGGGTTGAATACATCACTCTGGATCGAAGATCTATGATAATCAACGGTTAATAATTTAGTGCTCAATGAGTGCTGCCAGTATGTGATAAAAAATTAGGAAATATTATTTTTTTAAATTTTTTATCAATATAAACTGCTAGTATGACAGTCTGAGCAAGTGACTGGGTTGAATACATCACTCTGGATCAAAGATCTATGATAATCAACGGTTAATAATTTAGTGCTCAATGAGTGCTGCCAGTATGTGATAAAAAATTAGGAAATTTTATTCTTTTAAATTTTTTATCAATATAAACTGCTAGTATGACAGTCTGAGTAAGTGACCGGGTTGAATACATCACTCTGGATCGAAGATTTATGATAGTCAACGGTTAATAATTTAGTGCTCAATGAGTGCTGCCAGTATGTGACAAAAAATAACGAAATTTTAATTTTTTAAATTTTTTATCAATATAAACTGCTAGTATGACAGTCTGAGCAAGTGACACGGTTGAATACATCACTTTGGATCGAAGATTTATGATAGTCAACGGTTAATAATTTAGTGCTCAATGAGTGCTGCCAGTATGTGATAAAAAATAACGAAATTTTAATTTTTAATTTTTTTTATCAATATAAACTGCTAGTATGACAGTCTGAGCAAGTGACAGGGTTGAATACATCACTCTGGATCGAAGATGAAATGAAATGAAAATGAAATGAAAAACATTTATTCGGAACAGACGTGGATACATACAAAAGGTTAAATTTATACACACACACATACATATATGTACATATATATATACACATACACATATATACATATATATATATATACACTAAATGACGGACATTAAAAAACATACATTACATATATCCACAGCTGGACCGAAAAGGATCCAGTTCAGCATGAGTCAGTTTGCACTGACGCTGGTTTTCAACTGGTTCCCTTCCTGATTTGTGGATGCCAGACACTATGATACAAGATTAAGGGATTTTATATTAAATAAAAATGAAATATTACAAATTGTACCAGTGAACAAAAGAAAAAGTTAAGTGAGTAACATATTCAATAAACTCATCTAAACAGTAAATAACACAATAACATATTTTCAAGGTAAACAAACCATGAAACACTGACATAAATATTTTTTTTTAATTAATTTGCAGACGACCCAGTTAAAAAAAAACTCATCACATCCACAAAACGCCACATTTGGGAACAACATCAAATAGCACTTACATATTATTTTTAAATTGCTTACAACTGTGTTGTGTATAAGAAGTAGGATGAGTGTCATGTACAAAATTGTTTATGCTCTTCAAGCCATGAACCAAGTTTTAATGGAGAAATGACTACTGACCCGCCACAATCACCGTCAAACCAACAACGCCAATCCAATCCAATATGGTCTGGTGCACTGTGTGCATTTTTGTTTGATTTTTTTAATTTATTTTCAATATTAAAATTAGTTTTTGTTTATTTGTTGTTTTATATGCTTGGTTCTAATTTAGTGTTTAAGTAAGTTTATTAAGTTATATGTAAGACATGTCTATATTTATACTGCCTAATTGTTGTTGTGCATTTTTAAGATATTGACGAAGATGTTTTCTGAACACATAAATGGAGTTACTTACTCTTATAGGGGGTGGGATGTTA